TAGGTGTCTTGAGTAGAGAAGGCATCCACTGATGATATTAACAGACCCTGTAGAGGAATGGTGATGGTTTTAATTTTCGTCATCTGCGGATTAACGGCCATGGGGAACCGTTGCGCTCACCATGTGACACCATCTATCCGGAAAAGTTGGCTCTAACTTCGCTTACAAGCTGCGGTCGCTCGGTTGGTATAGTTTTCTTGCGGACTACAGGCCACGGAGGTTGTTTTGCTGGTTGGGGTAGGTAAGACGGCCACTGTCTCCTCAATCTTCTTACATTTGGTGGGTTGCTAATTTCTGCAGCTAGTCTGTTATTGTGTCCGAGTATGCTTTGATAGTAGCGTGTTGACAATTATGTATTTCTTCTATGACAAATTGGATTTGCAGATCATTGTGGATAGTAAAATTTGAGAATACCAAGGCGCTTTAGTTACTGAGTGCAAGAACTTGGATTGAAGTTTCTGAATTATTTTTGTGTTTGATGGTTTTGTACAGCCCCATAGCTGTATACCATATGTCTATGTGTGTTTTATTATACACTTATACTATAATAGAAATTTGTTTTCTATGGATAGCTTGGATTTACGGCCCCAAAGCCAGGACATTCCTTGTAGTTTTAAATTTAAGTTCTGACACTTTGTTTTGACGTGTTTCTGCCATGTCAGTTTTTGGTCGCGGTAGAATCCCAAGTACTATTTTACTTCGGTTTGGACCGGTATTTGCATATTACTGACGGTAACCTGCGGGGAAGTTATGCGTTTTGTGGTGAATGTAACTTGCACCGATTTTGTCTGGTTTATTTCGAATTTCCATTTGCAGTACCGTTTCTGGAGGAGGTTTAAGTGATGCTGAAGATGTTGTGATGCTACTACTGGATCACTATTTGCTGACTATTTGCTGCTAGCGGTGCTGGACAAGGTTTAAGTGATGCTGAAGATGTTGTGATGCTACTACTTGATCACTATTTGCTGCTAGCAGCGCTATGCCATTGCTGGAGGAGGTTTAAGTGATGCTGAAGATGTTGTGATGCTACTACTTGATCACTATTTGCTGCTAGCAGCGCTATGCCATTGCTGGAGGAGGTTTAAGTGATGCTGAAGATGTTGTGATGCTACTACTTGATCACTATTTGCTGCTAGCAGCGCTATGCCATTGCTGGAGGAGGTTTAAGTGATGCTGAAGATGTTGTGATGCTACTACTTGATCACTATTTGCTGCTAGCAGCGCTATGCCATTGCTGGAGGAGGTTTAAGTGATGCTGAAGATGTGATGCTACTACTTGATCATATTTGCTGCTAGCGGGGCTGTGCCATCTGCGAAGGTTGCGATTGCAGTGCTGTTTGTTATGGGCAAGTCTGCAGTATAGATTAAGTATAGCAGAGGCCCCATCACGCTTCCTTGAGGTACACCTGACTTTACCTGGTACCAATCTGAATGTGAATTATTGTATTTTATTTGAAAGTGTCTTTCAGTGATGTATGACTTTAAAAGTAGGCAGTATGGGCTGGGGAATGTATGTAGTAGTCCAGTGTGCCAGACCTTGTCAAAGGCCTGGGCTACGTCAAGGAAAAGTGCTGTACGACATAGGCAACAGAGTGGGAGCGAAAAATTTATGTTTCACAGCACCGCGTACCTGTCTCCACGGTAAGCAGAGGGACACCATTGATTGATTCTCATTTTGTCTTCATTTTGGGAGGAACGTCCCTCCAAGGCGATACATTTGCTTTGAGCTTTCGGGAAGATGACACTAGATCAGAGTGTGACAATCATAATTTTGATTTTTGTTTGTATCTTCAACGGCATATTTCAATTCTCATTTCGTTATGCTTTATTGCAAAAGACAAGATGGTCAGGGCATGTAGCAGGAATTGTGAAGAAGAGGAACGCATATAGGATATTGGCGGGAAAGCCAGAAGGAAAGAGACCACTGGGAAGACAAAGGCGTAGGTGGGTTAACAATATTAAAATGGATATTAGAAAGATAGGATGGGATGGGATGGATTGGATTGATCTGGCTCAGGATTTTGACCAGTGGAGGGCCCTTGTGAGCACGGTAATGAACCTTCGGGTTCCATAAAATGCTGTGAAGTTCTTGAGTAGCTGCACAATTGGCGGCTTCTCAAGAAGGGCTCAGCTCCATGGGTGAGTGAGTTTTACTACAAAAACAACTCAGCTGTATTGAGCAAGGGACGCGTAGTCTGTATAACGAGTGGTTACGGGATGGACCACTCAGGGGTTGGAGTTCGAGTCCGATAAGATCAAGAATTTTCTCTTCTCCAAAGCGTCCAGACAGGCAATGGTATCCACCCAGCCTCCTATAGAATGGGTACCGGGGGCTCTTTCAATGGGGGTAAAGCAGTCGGAGTGTGAAGCTGACCACTCACGTCCAGCTAGTGGCGAGGTCAAGCAAATTTGGATCTATGCATCCACTCCGCCATACGCCTTTATGGAATAGTGCTTAATTAGGTAAGTACAGGGACAACTTTACCTGACAAATGCGGCTGTAGACGTTTGTGAGAGCGATTTTGACCGTACGTGGCTTCTTGAGACAAGAATTCTACATTAAGGAGAGGAACCATCCACCAAGCCTAACAATACAGAGAGCACAGGCAAGTAAGTAAGTGACCTGAATGTGTTGGCAGAAATTGTTTCCAATTTTTCTTTTGTCTGTTTCAAGTCACGGCTCATATTCTGTGCCTCACAGTGGCGAGCGGCATGCCCTATCTTATTGTTAAGGTTTTCAAACCCTGTCAGTCTCGGAAGCTTTATTCAATCTGGCGAATTTCGGTACCGGGCGCGTGATCTCGTCGGCAGGGTTCACAACAACCCTTCGTCTTCATGTGTTAAATTAGCTCCGGATGGATTAAAATTTAAAAACAGTCGTTAAAGTGTTTTAACAAATGTTATTTTGGTTATAACTTAATATCGTCGCCCCTTTATTTACAGTAAGTCCGACATGTATTTTGGGGCACACAATAGCGTGATTGGTTGAAGCACTATGCTACAAGCCGGAAGGCCACGGTTTCGATTCTCGAGATCGTTTAATTTTTTTTTTCAGTTCACCTAATACTTCCAGCCGCACTATGGCCCTGAGGTCGACTCAGCCTCTAACAGATATGAGTACAAGGAATTTTCCTTAGGGTAAAGGACGGCTGGTGTGTAAGGCTGACAACCTCACCACCATCTGTGAGCTGATTGTATAGAAAATGTGGGAGCCTCGACGTCTCACAACTCTATGGACTTCCACGGCGCGTTACAGGGATAGCTTTACTTAACCTAACCGTCATCTGCGAGCCGATTGTCCAGAAAATGCGGGAGCCTCGAGTCTCACAACCCTATGGACTTCCACGGCCTGTTAACAAGGATAGCTTTACTTAATCTCACAGCCATCTGTGAGCCGATTGTCTAGAAAATGTGGGAACCTCGACGTCTCAGAACCCTGTTAGTCTCCACTGTGTCTTTTTTTAAAGTTACTATTTTAAATTAATTATTAACTAACAATGCAACGTCTGAGCTGTGGAGTGCTTTAAACAAGCGATGGGACTTAAGCAGCATTGTGCACAGTTACAGAAAACGTCCATGAGCACGTAACATCAGTAGTTTCTATGCAGAATAACAAATCGGCAGACAGCGTTTGGCTACGGATCTGTTTCGTGTCTGTAATCTTGATTACGTTACCAAAATTTGTTGAAATTTGGGAGATGGGGGCTTTGTAGGCTGCAGTTATTTAAATCTGAATGAGATTAAGTAAAAAAAAGTTCGAGCTTTTGTGAATGGCGTATCCTGTGATGCAGTTTATTCGATTTTGTCCCGGTCTCAGAGTGCTGAGTACATCTGGGCTTCACTGTATACATATAACACGCATTGCCTACAATTTAATCGAAGGCTGCCTTTCTCCAGAATGGGAATCCCCGCCCTGTTTCTCCCACTTCTTCTCCGTTTTTTTTTAAATTCTTTTCATCTACGTGAATCATATTGAATTAAACGCAGAAGAAGGAAGCGTTCGATTACATTAATACCGAATTCCGTGGACGTAAAAAAGTGAAATGGGAAATACGGGTGAAAGGAGATTCTAAAATTGTCTTAAAATTTCAAAACGATTAAAGTAAAAAAAGAATCAAAGCTATCCATGTAACAGCCCATGAAAGCCCATAGACGTCGAGGTTCCCACATTTTCGAGACAATCGGCTCACAGATGGCGGTGAGCTTAAGTAAAGCTGTCCCTGTAAGAGGCCGTGGAGGCCCATAGGGTTGTGAGACGTCGATGCTCCCACATTTTCTAGACAATCGGCTCATAGATGGCGGCAAGGTTGTCAGTTCTACGCGCCGGCCGCCCTTTACTCCCCCAGAAAGATTCCTGGTACTCATTTCTGGTAGAGGCTGAGTCGACCCAAGGGCCATAGTGAGGCTGGAAGGATTTGGTCACTTGTAAAATCCTCATCGGAACCCGCGATCTTCCGGCTTGTAGCACAGTACCTCAACCAACTACGCTACCGCGTGCGATTGCAATTATTAAAATATTCTTACCATTTCAGAACGGAAAGAAAATGTTGCTGTTTCTTTTGAAACTGAAACCCCACTCGTTACATTGTCCGTCGTACTGCCAACTTCCCCTGTACTCACATCATTTGGTATATAAGTTTTCGTGTTATTAACTTCTCTTACTTTCTCTCATATTCATTTACACACCTATATGTTACCGTGTGATACGTCGAGGCCGGCTTTTTTCATATCCCATGAGTGATATAAATCGTAAACAATCTACTCTGTATAATATATACTACACTTGAATTATCTACAATGGAATGTTACCAATACTCACAGAATAGACACGATACCCTGAAACAGAATACTTCCCGCTGGCTTATTACATACAAAACGTTGTTCATGTGTGTTAACGGTCAACTGTCTGTTGCTATGGAAACCGTGAAGTGCGTATTTTCCGTGCCATCCTCTCACCGTTATGTTTCAGGACTACGATGAAATTCGCAGAAATAGCTTACCTCAATCGCCAGTTCAAAGTCTCTCTTCTCGATCGTTCCGCTGTGGTTTACATCTGGAAAGAAAACATGTGTATTAGTATTAGAATTAGAGATGAAGTGACAGGAGACTGGAGAAAGCTGAGTATTGAGGAGCTTCATAACTTATACTCTTCTCCAAGTATACTTAGAATGATTAAGTCAAGGGGGATGAGATGAGCAGGGCATGTAGCACGAATAGAGGCGAACAGGAATGCATATAGGGTATTGGTGGGAAAGCCAGCAAGAAGTGACCACTAGGAAGATTGAGTAATATGTGGGAGGATAATATTAAGGTGGATCTTAGACAGGATGTGATGGTATGGACTGGATTGATCTGACTCAGGATACGGGCTACTGGAGAGTAGAATTTTGAACAAGGTAATTCACTTTCTGGTTTGTAAAATGTTTGGGAATTCTTGAGAAGATGCGCAACTGGAAGCTTCTGAAGGACTGAGTTCCGTGGAGTTAGTTAATATTAGCATTCACTGTTGTTATCAAGAAGATCGCAATGTCTCTTCGTTCTATGACGGGAAGTGCGCCGTTAGAGCCCTGCACCAACCGATTGCCGGTGTTTCTTTCAGAAGATGAATCTACCAGAAAGTGTCTCTCTCAGTCTCTTGTCATACAACGTCATGGAATCTTTTGAAAGTCAACCGACGTTTCAGAGAAACGTGAACAATAAGCAAAGCAAGATAGCTACACGTGTCACGTCTGCCATGGCTCCCACGATCGCCAGATATCAATATCATTGAGCCTTTGTGGTCTGTTTTGGAGAGCAATCTGCGTGCGCGCTATCCACCCCCATCATCATTAACAGAACTTGCCAATGTTTTGCAGGAAGAATGGTACAAGATTCCCTAGCAAATCATACAGGACCTCTATTTATCCATTCCAAGGAGACTGCAAGCACCATATTAGTCATGGTAATGTGTTTTTTGTTGGGTGTTTCCATATTTTTGTCCATCCCCTGTACATGAAGAACCTAGCAGGCAGAGTTATTTTTCCTAGTACATTTTTTATACTATATATTGAAGAGGTATTTTTGTCCGAAACGTCGGTTAACTTTTTAGCAGCTTACACTGATTTATATCCTAGAAGATAAAAATCTTGATACAAACTCCTGCAAGAATTTTCTGCATTAATTATCGCAAGGAACGACCATTTGGAAGGATTCTTGAAACCTATATTTTCATTTCTTCAAGAGCTGATGCGTTGTGAAGTTGCGCCCTTCTTAAAATCAGATGTTTCCTTAAATCCTCTATAATATCCGGTTAGAGTTAAACGGGGTGTAGGATAATCCGGATCAAAATATGAAACATTTTCTTCACAGTTGAGTACATATAAATACTTTAGAAGACACACGGCATTTAGGAAGGCAGATGAGCCACTTGTCTGTTCAGACAAAACGTGAGACAGTTAAAAAACAAGTACAACTTCCGAGTCTTCTGTCGATGAAGAAATGTATTGTTTTTTGTAGTTTTTAAATAAAGGCTCTACATTGATATTTTTGTTATTTATTTTCATCAGCACTACTTATATCATTTCTTTTTTATTTATGTATGTCCTAAGTTTTTTGTCTTTTAGGGCTACCTTTTGCTTCACTAATCCGGGTGACCTCTCTCCCCAATTAATCTGCACTAAAAAGGCCTTACTGCATTTAAAACCAAAGAAGTTAAGCCAAAGAGATTTCACACACACTTCACAGAATTACTTAGCAACACTGTTGATGCCGAGAGATCTTTAAAACGCGGAGAAGTAGTATTGTGTTCGTCTGCGCCGCGACGCAGGCCGAGGGATGAAGTTGCCTGAGACGGCGCCAGGGTTCGATACCTGCTATCCTGAATGAGGTGGATGGTTCTTTAAACTGGATCACGATCACTTCCTTCCATGTTCTTTGATATTATCATTCTACATCATATATAGCCCGAGTTACTGTCATATCAAACAATAAGTTGCAGGAAGAATTAATCGCACACGTTCCTCTCACCATGTATTATCTGATGCGACACGGACAGCATAGTAAACACCGTGTCAACCAGGTCGTCCATTTTTACTTGTGTATTCGTTGCAGCGAGAACGGTATTTACGTAGCCGTTGCCTATTAACGACCGTCCTTTTCCAATATTCCAGGTATAAGGTGTTTGGGATATAGTAGACAGCAAGGCACACTCTTACGACACCATTTAATTTTTTTCAAAATACGACAAGACGTTACCCTCTTATAAGTACAAGTAAATACGGCGGTAATTCTCTGCACGCTCATGAAATTCTTAAGACGGTACCTCGATTATTACACGACCGCGTTGTACCAAATCCCTCCCAGTACTTCCATCATTTTTTTTTCTGTGGCGCTACAGCCCCAATTTGGGCCTAGGCCTACCTCCATGAAACTCTCCGTTTCACTTCGGTTTACTAGATCTTACACATACGGTAGGACTTCTTGGGCGGGTGATCAGCTCGTCGCAAGGCCTCTATCTGTAGACAAACACAGAAAAACGCACACAAACATCCATGCCCAGAGTGGGATTCGAACCCACGATCCCGGCTTCCGAGCGAGTGAAGACAGTGCACGCCTTAGACCGCTCGGCTACCGTGACCGGCTTCCATCATTATACCATTTGATACTAAATAATTCGGCTGTTGCCAGGACAGAACCCCCCTTCCTCAAAGACTTGAAGTACGTGTACGGATTTATTTATCTGTAGAACAGGTTTGTGAAGAGAGTTATCCCTGTTTAGCTCTGGGGTAACGAACCTTAAAAGTGAAAGTAAAATTAGAATGAAAGAAGACACTGTTTACAGCAAACAGTCTTCAATATCCAGTGATAATTCCACCTGGAAATGTTGATTTTATGTCACTTGCCTTCACTCGTACACTCTCCGGCCCTCTTCTTTAATCTTTCAATCTTGGGTTTGAATTCGTCTTTAGAAAACATCAATTCAGCAAGTCTCTGTGTTTATATTTGCTTATCGAGATGGATTCCATGTTTACGTTTACATTAGAGGCTACCCAAATTAACTTTTGATTCCTCTATTCGAGTAAATAATAATTTAACTGGAGAAGAGAGAAAATTTAAGTGAAATGGAGGCACAAGTAAACTACGATACAATATCCAACAGAACGAGTATAATGAGAATCCATTTTCTAATGATTGTAGCGAAAGACATTTGTCACTATAATTTTTTTTAGGTTTACTCGGCGGCAACTTTCCTTCTTTCCGCTTGTAACACCGTACACTCTTGTAGAACGATACTGAAGTTTCGGAAGAAAATTCTGCCTCTATTGTCGGCATCAGAGTCAGTGCGGTGAGGATGAGGTAACCTACCTGTCTAACCTAACCTCACCCACAACACACATATCTCAACCATGAAGATGAAAACAGAATGTACCTCCGAAACAATGATCACAATCCACAATACTTCAATCTAAATCTATCACTGTTTGAGGCAGAGGAATTTTAAANTTGTTATCAGAAAGTTAACATTCATGCAGGCCGCGCCATAGCTCAGGCGGTTAGTCGCTGGCTTCCCACTGCGGCAGCCTGGGCTCGTCTCCCGGTCTGGTCAAGTGGGATTTGTGGTGGACAAAGTGGCGCTGGGGCGGGTTTTCTCCGAGTACTTCGGTTTCCCCTCCCAATCTTCATTCCACAAAATTCTCCATCATCATAATCACCCG